TATTTATTTTTTGGAGGTAAATTTGGATTTTTATTTTATTTATTTAAATTTTTTTTGGAGGTAAATTTGGCTCTTTATTTTTTTTTATTATGTTATGTTAGTCACCATACAGTACATCATTAGTTTTTGATGTAGTGTTCTGTGATTCATTGTTTGTGTATAACACCCAGTGTTCCATTCAATACATGCCCTCTTTAATACCCATCACTGGGCTAACCCATCCCGCACCCCCCACCCCTCTAAAACCCTCAGTTTGTTTCTCAGAGTCCATAGTCTCTCATGGTTCATCTCCCCCTCCGAATTACCCCCCCTTCATTTTCCCCTTCCTTCTCCTAATGTCCTCCATGCTATTCCTTATGTTCTTTTAATGTATTGTGGAGTTCAGTTTGCTTATATTTTGTTGAGGATTTTTGTGTCACTATTCATCAGAGATACCGGACTATTGTTTTCTTGTAGTATCTTTGCCTGATTTTATGCCAGCTTCATAAAATGAGTTTGAAAGTGTTCCCTCCTCTTCACTTTTTTGGAAGAGTTTAGGAAATCATGTTAATTCTTTAAATGTTTGGTAGAATTTTTAGTGAAGCCCTCTGGTTCAGGGCTTTTCTTTGTGGGGAAGTTTTGATTACTGATTTAATCTCCATACCAGATACAGTTCTGCTCAGATTTAAAATTTCTTCATGATTTAGTCTTGATAGGTTGTATATTTCTAGAATTTTATCCATTTCTTATAGGTTATACAATTTGTTGGCATTGTTTATAGTAGTCTCGTATGATCCTTTTTATTTCTGCTACACTAGTTGGATTGTTTTCTCTGTTATTTTTTTATTTTTGTTGAGTCTTCTACTCAGTTTAGCTAAAGGTTTGTCAATTTTGTTGATCTTTAAAAAAAAACCTCTTAGTTTCATTTTTTTTCCTGCTTTTTCCTATTCTTTCATTTATTTCTGCTTTATTCTTTATTATTTCCTTTCCTCTGCTAGCTTTTGGTTTAGTGTGTTCTTTTTCTAGTTCCTTGAAGTATAAAGTTAGTTGTTGATTTGAGTTCTTTTCTTTTGTGTTCAATGTCTCTGTTCACTTTATAAATTTCCCTTTTGGTACTGTTTTTGCTGTATCCTATAAGATCTGATACGTTTTTTTTCTTTGTCTTAAGATGCTTTCTAATTTCTTGTGATTTTTTCTTTGACCCATTGATTGTTCAAGAGTGTAATTTTTGACAGATTTATAAATTTTCCTTTTGCTATTGATTTCTAGTTTCATTTCATTGTAATTGGAAAAGATCCTTGATATGATTTCAAACTTCTTAAATTTATTAAGACTTGTTTTGTGGCCTCACAAGTGATCTATCCTGGAGAATGTTTCTTGTGTGCTTGAGAAGAATGTGTACTCTGCTGTTATTGGGTAGAGTGCTATTTTTATGTCTTTTAGGTCCAATTAGTCTCTAGTATTGTCCAAGTCTTCTATTTTTTATTATTATTTTTATTATGTTCAATTAGCCATGTATGGTACATAATTAGTTTTTGATGTAGTGTTCAATGATTCATTAGTTAAGTATAACACCCAGTGCTCATCACTTCTGTTTCTTTACTGATCTTTGAACTGGTTGATCTATACATTATTGAAAGAGGGGTATCAAAATCTCTACAATTATGGTGTTACTGTCTATTTCTCACATCAATTATCTCAGTGTTTGCTGTATATATTTGGGTACTCTGCTATTAGGTGCATATTTATTATTATACCTTCCTTGTTAATTGACTTTTTTTAAATAATTTTTTTTATTATATTAGTCACCATACAGTACATCATTAGTTTTGATGTAGCATTCCATGATTCATTGTGTTTTTTTAAAGATTTTTATTTCTTTATTGAGAGAGAGAGAGAATGATAGAGAGCATGAGAGGGAGGAGGGTCAGAGGGAGAAGCAGACTCCCTGCCGAGCAGGGAGCCCGATGTGGGACTCGATCCCGGGACTCCAGGATCATGACCTGAGCCGAAGGCAGCCGCTCAACCAACTGAGCCACCCAGGCGCCCTATGATTCATTGTTTTTAATCATAATGTTCTTCTTTGTCTCTTGTGACAATTTTTGCATTAAAAATATCTGATATATGTATGGCAACTCCTGATCTCTTCTGGTTATCATTTTCATGGAATACCTTTTTCCATCCTTTCACACCCAGTTTATGTATGTCCTTATATCTAAAGTGTATCTCTTGTAGACAGCATATAGTTGTATTTTATTTTTTTTATCCATTTAGTCACTCTATGTCTTTGATTGAAGAGTTAAGTCTATTTACATTTAAAGTAATTACTGATAAAGCAGATTTGCTGTCATTTTGTTATGTCCTATAGTTATTTTGTCATTCCTGTCTTGCAGCTGTCCTTGGTGTGTTTTATTAAGTTTTGGGGGGTGTGGGCATGCTTTGATTGCTTTCTTACTTTTATGCATCTTCTATAGGTATTTTCTTTGTGGTTACTATGGAAATTACATGAAACACCTTATAGTTATTATAATCTATTTAAACTGATAACAACATCAGTCACATATAAAACTCTACTCCTTTACATTTTTCCCCTTCCATTTTATATTACCAATGTCACAAATTACATCTTTGTATATTTTGTGTTAACATAGTTTTATAGTTATGGTTATTTTTTATTTGTAAAATTCCACACTAGAATTAAAAGTAGTTTATACACCACCATTACAGTTATTATAGGATTCTGTATGTCTATATATTTACATTTATCATAAAGCTCTACATTTTCATATGCTTTAGTGTTGCTGTCTAGTGTCCTTTTTTTCTTCTTTTTTCTCTTTTCAACTTAAAGAACTCCCTTTAGCAATACTTTTAAGGAAGGCATGTCTACTGGTAATGGACTCCCTCAGCTTTTGTCTGTCTGGGAAGATCTTTATTTCTCCCTCCTTTCAACTTTTCTGTATGTTTAAACTTTTCCTTAATAAAATGTTGGGATAAAGCAAATATGAAGTTAAGAAAGTTTCAAATAAAAACTAAGAAAATTTATTACTAGCAGACCCACACAAAAAAATCCAAGACTTTAACATGAATGTTATTAGCTAGAATTAAATATTTGCTTATTTCTTTTTTTAATTTTTTTAATTTGTTTTTTTTAAATTTTATTTTATTATGTTATGTTAGTCACCATACAGTACATCATTAGTTTTTGATGTAGTGATCCACAATTCATTGTTTTTGCATAACACCCAGTGCTCCATGCAGTACGTGCCCTCCTTAATACCCATCACTGGGTTAACCCATCCATCCCGCCACTCCCCTCCCCTCTAAAACCCTCAGTTTGTTTCTCAGAGTCCATAGTCTCTCATGGTTCATCTCTCCCTCTGATTCCCCCCTTCAGTTTTCCCTTCTTTCTCCTAATGTCCTCTATGCTATTCCTTATGTTCCACAAATAAGTGAAACCATATGATAATTGACTTTCTCTGCTTGATTATTTCACTTAGCATAATCTCCTCCAGTCCCATCCATGTTGATGTAAAAGTTTGGTATTCATCCTTTCCGATGGCTGGGTAATATTCCATTATATATATGGACCACATCTTCTTTATCCATTCATCTGTTGAAGGGCAGCTTAGCTCTTTCCACAGTTTGGCTGTTGCGGACATTGCTGCTATGAACATTGGGGTGTATATGGCCCTTTTTTTCATTACATCTGTGTCTTTGGGGTAAATACCCAGAAGTGAAATTGCTGGGCCATAGGGTAGCTCTATTTTCAATTTTCTGAGGCACCTCCACAGTGTTTTCCAAATTTGCTTATTTCTTGAGGAAACAAATTATAGTGAAATGGACAAACCATAAACATACCATCAATGAATTTTGATGAATGAATTATTGTCATCCTAAAAGTATCCTCACTTTTATGTCTGGGGATATTTTTGCTGGGCACAGAATTCTAGGATGACAGTCATTTTCATTTTGTATTACCAAATATATGATTCCATTGTTTGGGTTTCCTTTTTTTTTTTCCTGTTTAAAAGTTAGGTTTTATTCTAATAGTTGCTTCTTTGAAAGTAGCCTGTTTTTAACACATTTTAACTGTTTTCAGTTTCTTTACTTTGCCTTTTGTTTCTAGCAGTTTCATCATCATATGCCTAAATATGGATTTTTTATTTAGCTTAGGGTTCATAAAACCTCTTGAATCTGTACCTTGGTGTGTTTCATCAACTTTGGAAAGTTCTCAGCCATTATCTTTTGAAATATTGCACCTTTCCCATTATCCCTCTCCTTTCTTTCTGACACTAATTACATGTACTCTAGACCACTTCATTGTTTCTACTTCTCCTAATCTCTAATGTATACTTTCTATCTTTGTTTTTCTCCATGTTTCATTCTTAGTATTTTCTCTTGAACTTTTTTTCCAATTTACTGAATCACTCTTTGGCTGTATCTATAGGCTTCTCACAAGCTCACTACCACTATCTCCTATATGACCAAAAAGTCTGGTCTTATTACTCTCAATCTGGGTTTAAATCTGTTACCACTGAAACCCAGGATTCTCATACTATGCTTATTCCATAAAATCTAATCCCCATTTCTATGGACAGTGAGGCAACTTTCTCACTATCCCCTTTATTTTATACATTAATTTGTTTGTCTCATTCCATAAGATAAAAGCTTCATGAAGGAAATGATTTTTGGATGTTTAGTTCACTACTGCATCCCTAGTGCTAGCCATATAGATGTAAGCACTCAATAAATATGTGTTAAATAAATGAGCAGCATTCCACTTTTCTTTTATAAGAAATCACCAAAGTGAAACTTTATAAAAACATCAGAAACTTTATTTTTAAAACAACAATGATAATAACAATAACAAGCTGCATACAAGTGCTTAACAGCTAAATAAATAGTAGGACAAAATATATAGTCAAATACAATTTGAAAGCAGAGAAGAAAATCAATTGATTGGTTATTTTTATTATCCTCCTCTAAACTGATAGGTCCACCACAGATTTTGGATTAAAAAACACTTTTCCACTGTCCAGTTTGATCCTCTTGACACAGTGGTATTTTGTTACTACTACTGAAATCCATATATTAGGGACAGAAATGAGTCAAGTAGCTCTCTAAATTTGAGTGAATCGGATGCTTGATTTATTACTCTGATCCAATGACCATTTGCAGCAGCAGTGACTTAGTACCCAAGGCCAAAATCTCTCTGAATCTCAAGTTATATCATTGAGGTTTGTAGAATTAGGATTTAAAGCTTGTGAAATGCTTTGCTCCCTCTTATCAAATCATTTTTCTGCTCTTTAGCTTGAAGACAAAGGTGGGGGAGAAGATGGGGTAGAAAAGCTGTACTGAATGCGAATGTTGGTGAGTAAAAGTCATCATTCATCTTCCTTCTTCCTTTGTCCCTTCTGTAAGGAAATATTTTTGAAGTGGCATAAAGACAATGGCAGTGTATCTCTCTGGACAGGATCTTTGAGTTTATACATGTTGCTATGAGTGGTGAGAGCAAATTCCCATGCGTAACAAACTCAAGAGGCCTGCCATCTGAATGCTTCTGGTCCTCTTTTTTTTATATATATATACATATTTATATATTTATATATAATATATATATATATATATATATATATATATATATATATATATATATATATATATATAAATCTATGGAAAGTTTTAAAGGGCCCTAGTATATATCTTTCTACCTAGACTACAAAAGTGTTGTAGAATAACATTTAAATATTTGTTTAGCACTGGAACTCACTACACCATCTCCACCTCCTGTAGTTAATTTTCTTAATCAAATATTTTTAAATTTACATGTATACGCTCAGTATAAAAGTCACAAATTACAGATATGTAAGTATTAAGCTTTTCTGTTTTTCTTCTTCAGGCCCCTTGCCCCCAAGATAGCCAATATTATCACTCTGGTTATTATGTGCCCACCCTTACCATCCTCATTCAAATATAAATGAATATATAAGCTCCTTGACTCCATCAATATTTTTCAGAAAAATAGGATCATATCCTACACCTCACTCTAGACAGACTAGATATCTGTCACTGTAATCATGATGCTGGGAATAATGACTACCTGTAATAACTTTCATTTGAACTTAGAAATAAAATTACTCTGTAGTTTGTTGTCACTTATAGTGAATTCCATGAGGGGCTAACAGTTTTTTAAACAGCGTAAGTGCTCATAGATATTTGTTAGATTGAAGCAAAAAATAAAAGCACAGAGATAGTTTAACACTATAAAGTTTTTCAAGATATTTGATGGTATTTCTGAAATAAAGCAAAATAAAATGAAAAGAGCCAAGAATGGGCTATGAGACTATCATATCTTTAAAAGCTACAACTTCTAGGAATGGGGGCTTTTACAATCATGTAAAATATATAATTGTCTCATGAGATTATTTCAACAAAAATCAAAATTAAGTACTAAGCAATAGTAGGCCATTAATAAAATTGGGGCTATATTTCTGTGAACCTGTTTCTTTAAAAATGCAGTGGCTTTGTCAACAATTAATTTGAAATACTATTTCCCATAAAGCTGTTTGGAAAATTTAAAACAACTATATAAGAAAGAAAAAGCTTGTGAATTGTGAAAAGTAAAAGTCTTGATTCTTCTGTTAAAGGTTATACATTTTAATATGATCTTTTGGCTGATTTATGTAAAGCTTTGTATTTTTCATTTTCTCAAGCCTGTCACTGCAGTGATGTATGGTACATTTTAGCATCAAGTTTGCCATAAGCAATAAAGTCAAGGCACCAAAGAAATTTTAATATATTTCCCCATTTTTAACCTGGAGCTTTCCATTATTCAGTTATTTTGTTTGGAATCCTCTGTTTAGTTGACATAAGTTTTATACTCACATAAATTACTTTACAATTTTGACTTAAAGATAAAATTTAAATATTAATTATTAGATAAGTAAGTTTATGGGTCATCATATGTAAAGTGAAAATCTTAGTGATAACTTAAATTTTACACTAACAACCTGTCTAAAGGTTGTATTTTACATTCTAGTTTGCTTTAAGAGTATTTTTCTCTAACACCAAGATGAAAGAAAAATGAACGAGAAAGTGACTTTCATTAAATGGTATGCAACATGAAAAGGAAGGATATGTCTATAAAATTCTGTAAGAAGAAAAAATGAAGTAAAAAAATAACAATCAATTATAAATTCAAAAATCTTATTCCAGAACTAAGAGCTGTTACAGAGAGTACAAAAATGAAAAAAGGAACAGTCTTCAAGAAATTTACAACCTACTGGAAATAAGTCCTTAAACATTATAAAGCTGATTATTTGTCACAAGAAAGGAAGAAACAAAGTGTTAGGACAGTTCATCTGATGTGGCTAAAGGTATGAGTATTTGAGTTCAAGCTTGCAACATGGGCAGGTTGTAAACAGTTAAAGGAAATGAAGAAAGGAAGACAGATAAGATAGAATAAACAAAGGCAAGTGAGGAGAGAAGAAGAAGGCACAGTAAGGGAGTATCTATCCAATGGTTCTGTACTACTGGAGCAAAGGATACATGTAGGGGGTTCCTGAGAGCAAGTCTGAGAAAGGATGTTATGGTACCGTGTTATACAATCTTCAATTAATGGCTAAACATCTTGTTTATTTAAAAAACAATGTAGCTGTATTATGGATTTTTGTGCAGAGACACAAAAATCAATATGGCAGTGGAACAGAATATGGGGCAGGAGTTCACTTAAAGAGGCTGTATGTTGTCCAAGAGTTTGGGCAAGATATGACTTTAACCAGAGAGATGGGCATGGAGAGGGAATGGTGTAAAACATATATTAGAGAATTAACATGTAAAGAATTAGATAACCAACTGACTGTCATGGTAAAGGAGAGACAGCTGTAATAGATGATGCCAGTATTCTCTTCCTGAGTTACTAGGGGGAAAACAGTTGTGTTAAAGAACAAAAACAGGCAGAAAGTAAACTTGGAGGGGAAAATGAGTTCAAGGCTTGTACACAATGAACTTGATACATATTGGCAGTGATGCCCCGCAGCCAGTCAGAAATAAGGATCTAGAGATAAGGAGAAAGCGTAGATATTAGCAGAAAAACCAGAAAGAGAGTGACTTTAGAATCATCTGCATAGAGCTGAAATGTAGATTGTGGGAGAAGACAAAATCCCAGAGACAGAAAATGTGGAAAATGAAAAAAATGGAACCTTAAAAAGAACTTGGGGTTATATACATTTGTTGAAGGTAAGAAGCAGAGAAACTACTGAAGGACATAGAAGAAATCTTGAGCGAGTAGAAGTCAGAATGGTACAGAGACATATAACCATTACAGGGGAATTTTTCAAGGAGATGGTGACCAATATTATCAAGGAAAAGGATTAATTAAAGATTATGAAGATTGAGAAAAGACCAACAGCAGTTCATCGAAGTAACTGAAGTCAGGCTAGATTGCAAATGTGTTATAGAATGAACTGAAATTAAAGGAATTTAGGGAACAGATACAGATTTTCAGAGTGATATTCACAGTACTACATTCTACATCTCACTATTATTTGGGGTGGAACGTTAATTAATTTACTATGAATTTGAAATAGCAATGTGATTTTGATAAAACATGTGAAAAGGATCTGTATTTTTGTCCTCTAGCATTTATTTTTCTTTTGGAAACCATACTTTGTTCTCCCTCTAGAGCATACCCTTCTCTATTATCTGAGTGAGGTCTGGAGTAAAGATGGTGACTTAGCCCAACCTTTGCCCAAGCCATTGAGATGCAATGGGATTTCTGAGAAAGAAACTCTGTTTCCCTCTGGTTCCACACTAAGAATGTCATATCAAAGCTTGTCATTTGCAAAAAACAAAAAAGGCCTAAAGGAGGCAACATTTAACATAAGTTATAATAATGAAGACAAGTAAAATGTCTCAGCAAAACTAACGAAAGAAATCACAGAACTCAGTAAATAAATTGAGAGATATTCCATGATCATGGGTAGAAAGACAATATTGTCAAGATGTCTGTTTTTTCTAATTTGGTCTACAGCTTCAATGCAATCCCAATCAAAATGTCAGCAAGTTACAAACTGATTCTAATATTTATATAGAAAGATTTAGAATAGTCTGAAGACAGAACAGTCAACAAAATATTGAAGGAAAAGAACAGTCAGAAGGCTGACATTACTGACTTCAAGACAAACTATAATGCTATAGTTATTAAGACATTGTGGTATTGATAAAAGAATAGACAAATAGAGCAATAGAACAGAATAGAGAGTCCCAGAAACAGATCCACACAAATACAGTTAGCTAATCTTTGGCAAAGGAGCAATGCAAATAATGGGGAAAAGATAGTCTTTTCAACAAATGGTGCCAGAACAGCTATAATTCCACATACAAAAAAATGAATCCAGACACAGTCCTTATACTTCTTTATAAAAATTAACTCAAAATGGAACACAGACCCAAATGTAAAATGTAAAACTATAAAACTCCTAGAAGATAACATAGAAGAAAATCTAGATGACCTTTGGTTTGATGATGACTTTTAGATACAATATCAAGGGCATGATACATGAAAGAAATAATTAATAATTCATTAAAATTAAAACTTCTGCTCTATAAAGGACAGTGCCAAGAGAATGAGAAGACAGCCACACACTGGTAGAAAATATTTGCAAAAGACATAGCTGATAAAGAACTATCCAAAATATACAACAAGCTCTTAAAACTCAATAAGAAAACAAACAACTCAATTAAAAAGTGAGCAAAGATCTGAACAGACACTTCACAAAAGAAGATATAGGAATGGGCAAATAAGCATATGAAAAGATGTTCCACATCAAATGCATTCAGGAAAATTCAAACTTAAAACAAGATAACACTGCACACCTATTAGAATGGCACAAGTCCAAAGTATTGACAATACTGAATGCTGATGAAGATGTAGAGCAACAGGAATTCTCATTCATTGCTGGTGGGAATATAAAATTGTACAGCCACACTGGAGGACAGTTTGGTGGTTTCTTACAAAACTAAACATAGTCTTAACCATATGATCTGGCAATCACACTCCTTGGTATTTACCCAAGGGAGTTGAGGACAAAATCCTGCACATGGATATTTATAGCAGCTTTACTTATAATTGCCAAAACTTAGAAGCAACCAAGATGTTCTTTGGTAGGTGAATGAGAAATAAACTGGTACATCCAGACAATGGAATATTACTCAACACTTAAAACTCATGAAAAGACATGGAAGAAGTTAAATGCATATTTCTAGGTGAAAAAAGCCAGTGTGAAAAGGCTACACATTGTATGACTGCAATTATATGACATTCTGGAAAAGGTAAAACTATAGAGACTGTAACAAGATCAGTGGTTACCAGGGGTAAGAGGGAAAGAAAGGATGAATAGGCAGAGCACTGAGGATTTCTAGGGCAGTGAAACTATTTTGTATGATGCCATAATGGTGGATATATGTCACTATACATTTGCTCAAACCCACAGAATGTGCAATATTAAGAGTAAGCCATAATGTAAACTATGTACTTTGAGTGATAAAGTTGTGTCAGTGTGGGTTCATCGACTGTAATAAATGCACCACTCTGGCGCCAGATGTTGACAGTGGGGAAGGCTGTACATGTGTGAGGGCTGGGGGCATATGGGAACTCTCTGTTCCTTCTGCTCAATTTTTCTGTGAATCCAAAATTGCTGTAAAAAATTAAGTCTATTCAAAATAAAGTTGTCTAAGGTCAGCACAGATAATACCAAAAAAATTTTTTATAAGTTGGCTATTGTAGATAATGCTGCTATAAACATGGAGGTGCATGTATCCCATTGAATTAGTATTTCTGTATTCTTTGGGTAAATACCCAGTAGTGAGATTGCTGGATTGTAGGGTAGTTCTATTTTTAACTTTCTGGGGAACCTCCACCTGTTTTCTAGAGTGGCTGCACCAGTTTGCATTCCCACCAACATTGCAAGACAGTTCCCCTTTCTCCACATCCTTGCCAATATCTGCTGCTTCTTGTGTGATTTCAGTCATTCTGACAGGTATGAGGTGATATCTCATTGTAGTTTGGATTTGCATTTCCCTGATGATGAGTGATGTTGAGCATTTATTCATGTGTCTGTTGGCCATCTGTATGTCTTCTTTGGAGAAACATCTGTCCATGTCTTCTGCCCATTTTTTAACTGGACTGTTTTTTGGGTGTTGAATTTTATAAATTCTTTATATATTTCAGATACTAACCCTTTATCAGATATGTCATTTGCAAATATCTTCTCCCATTCCTTAGGTTGCCTTTTAGTTTTGTTGATTGCTCCTTTTACTGTGTAGAAGCTTTTTATTTTGATGAAGTCCCAGTAGTTTATTTTTGCTCTTGTTTCCCTTGCCTTAGGAGCTTTTATCTAGAAAGAAGCTGCTATGGCCGATGTCAAAGAGGTTACTGCCTGTGTTCTCATCTAGGATTTCTGTGGTTTCAGGTCCCACATTTAGGTCTTTAGTCTATTTTGAATTTATTTTTGTGTATGGTGTAAAAAAGTGGTCCAGTTTCATTCGTTTGCATGTGGCTGTCTAATACTATTTGTTGAAAAGACCTTTTTCCACTGGATATAAAAATTGTATTTTTCATTGTTATAAAATAATCAGTAAGATTTAATGATATTCTTCCTGATTGCCCAATACTGTTGATAAAATGAATACTATATCAAACAAACTGAGTGTTGTTGGAGTGGGTGGTGTGGTGGGAGGGATGGGGTGACTGGGTGATAGACACTGGGGAGGGTATGTGCTCTGGTAAGCGCTGTGAATTGTGCAAGACTGTTGAATCTCAGATCTGTACCTCTGAAACAAATAATGCAATATATGTTAAGAAAAAAAAAAGAAGAAGAAGAAGGTAGCGGGAGGGGAAGAATGAAGCGGGGGAAATTGGAGGGGTAGACGAACCATGAGAGACGATGGACTCTGAAAAACAGGGTTCTAGAGGGGAGGGGGGTGGGAGGATGGGTTAGCCTGGTGGTGGGTATTGAGGAGGGCACATTCTGCATGGAGCACTGGGTGTTATGCACAAACAATGAATCATGGAACACTTCATCTAAAATTAATAATGTAATGTATGGGGATTAACATAAGAATAAAAAAAAAGAATCATACATGTTTAAAAAAAAAAAAAAACTAATGATGTACTACATGCCGGCTAACTGAACATAATAAAGAAACAGACACACTAAAAAAAAAAAAAAAAATGAATACTATATCGAAACAAAAATGACAAGTCATGTCAGTAACATCCAGTAGAATAAACTTGATTGGCTAAGTAAAGTGACTGCCTTTTCATTCTCATTTTCAAATGCTCTGCATCATTATATAATTGGCAGAGGGGAGAGCAGGAAAGAGAGAAGGAGTAAAATAAAACAATGGGATGAAAGCAAATAAATGTTACAGAAATGACAGAGAGGAAGTAAAAGGGGAAAAAAGGGCACTTACCATGTACAGTCATGGATAGGACATGGTAACTAAAGTCAGAGAAAGTGAACCCTGAGGAAGTCACCAATAATAACGAATGAGGCTTTCACATTTCCCCAATTAATCAATGTTTCTATTAACTTCTTCTGATGAAGATATATATTTCTTTATATAACAAAAAAAATTTCTTTATAGAACAAAAAAAATGCAGAGAAAGAGCTGGATATAATAGCTGAGAAAATGCTATGTAGTTTTTTTCATACAGAAATGGTAGCTTAGTAAAAAATGTCCAAAAATGTTCTTCAAGAATTATGTATATAATTAGATTTTCTGTAGTTGTCAGGCACTGGGGACACCTAAAAAAAAAAAAAAAAAAAGAAGTAGAAGAAGAAGGAAAATGCACCATATTTATTCAGTGTCAGTGAATATTCCACCTTAAAGAAATAACATTCTTTTCTTTAAGAGGGCAAAATGGCCTGTGAAAACAAATGAAATACTAAAACAACAAGGTGAACAATGAGCTATTTAGGTAAAGCTGAACATACAATGGCTGATATGTCTAAACAAAAATTCAGTGGTTTTTACTTTGTGTGTGTGCACATGGCAGCAATAGTAGCAGAGACCTAGAAAGTAAGAGGTTCCTTTCACTGGATATGAAGGATGTTTGAATAGTACAGCTTTATTTTCTTGAGGATTACCAGCTTTTTGGGAAAAGGTCACCAATAATCATCTTCTAGCTTAATTCAGTGATCTACTTTCAACCCTGTCCATTCTAATTTTTCTAGATTGGAAACTCTTTTGTCCTGATTTCTGGAGTTCCATTCTTTTCCTTCCTTTGCCAATCTTCATTAAACCTCTTGATTCTTCAGATTCCCTATCATTCATATATATATATATATATAAAACTTGGGTTGTGCCTCAAGACTTGGTGATAGAACACCAAAGATGTGGAAAACTTCTAATCCTTTATATTGAAAGTAGCAGACTTTTAAAAAAATTTTATTTAATTCTAGTTAGTTAACATACAGTGCAATATTCGTTTCAGGAGTAGAATTCAGTGATTCATCACTTACATACAACACCCAGTAAGGAGCAGACCCTTTAATCAAAGGGTCTAATCCAGATCTTTACCTATTCCACAAGACATCCTTAAATTGACATTCTGCTGTATCTTGACAATCAATGTATTTAAAATAAAACTCTTTATCACACTTTTGTTTCACTTTCCATCTTTCACTTGTACTTCTGTTCTCTTTCATATTTTTGGAAAAGCTCTTATTTCTTCTTTTCCTCCACTCTTAAACTTTGTATAATGAAGCTCCAATTCATTCCTAAACCTTTCCCCTCATGCTTATGTACAATAAACTAATTCTTTTTCTACTAGGTGATTTAATATTTGGTTATATACTGTCCTGTCTTCTCATTGCTTAATGTATATATGATTCCCTTTTTAACTGAATTGCAAACTCTTCAGAAACGTAATTTCGTAGGCATCATATAGAGTTCTCAAACCATAAATATTTGCCAAATTCTTAGTTACTGACTGAGGATCTGGGAAAAAAAATCACTAATGATAAAATGACCTTTTTTTTTTTTTTTTTTTACCCTTTTATCTGTTGTTATAGAATTAAAGATACAGAGCCAATGCATACATCCCAATTTTCTCTTGAAATCACTGTGAAAGTGAATCTTAGGTTTACTTGCCTTGTCCTCCAAGTGCAATTCCAAAAAGCGTAGATAAGCAACAGGTGCAAATGCATCAGCTGAATGTGTGACCACTTCTGATGAATCCCTAAAACACAAAAATTTTATAATGCATTTATTTACTACATAAATTGTGGCAAATTGTTCTCTGCTAATGACTAGAAGAAACCAAAAATCCTCCTTTTGTATTTATTTCCACTGGTAAACAGTATGTAGTGATTAAAACCTATTTTTAATAATCTAATATTTAATTGGGAAAAGGATCAAGGATGCTAAATTTACAAGAAAAAGTAAAGAAGCTTTTGTCTTTGTAACGATACAGTTCAACTTTCAGGTTCACTCAAAGCTCTCTGAACAGTTTTGAGACTTAAAATTCCTATTCAATTTCATTTTCACAAATTTTCTTGGTAGGGGCTAACCATTAAACAATAGCGCTTTATCTTCATTATTCCTTCCATTTTCAAGAGGTAATTCATTCAGTGTTTCACACAAAATCTCAATTATCCTTCACAAAAGCAGTACTGGTGACGGTTTTAAGCTCTAGGTGAACTCTTCACACTGCAATATCATTGCTATTAAAATTGATTGTCTGACATAGTAATTACCACATTCAGGTGAAATGGTCTGAACTGCTTGCCGGCACCATATGGATACATGTAAATTAACTCTACTTTTATCAAAGATACCCTGTAAAGCACATATGAATAACTAAGATTATGTGTGAAGTTCTAATAACTAATTATTTTTTATTGTTGTTTATTAAGAAAGCAATAGTATTTTGCATTTCAACTGAAATTTTAAAAATAATTTCCCTATGTCTCTTTAATGCCTTGGGAACTAGTTCCATTGTTTATATTAATACATTGCTAGCATTTCAACCTTTGTAGGATAGCAAATTGTTACTTTATTTGACTTTGCCACTAATGTAAGATATTTTTGAGTCAACTTTTGTAATGTAAAGTTATTTAGTGGCAATAAAAGGAACCTCAAAATACTTGGCTCCAAAATATTAAATTTTCATGGGCAAAATCTGTTTACTTTTCCCTTTGAAAGATCAGAGATAGAGAAAAAAATGTTTGATGATTAAAAAAGTCAACTACCATTCATGAACCTTTAATATCAAATATGCCTCTTGTTAATGCTTAGGAAAAAATAACATTAAAAAGGGCTCCTGTGACATTACAAGGAAAGCAACTTATGTTATAAAAGAAACAGAATTATTAAAGAGTCAGGATCCTGACAGAAAGATATAACTTGCCTTCACAGGCTACATCAACCAAAAGATGTCTCCGCTATAACGAGGAGGAAGAGAAAGAGAAAGTAAAGAGGCCGGCTTGCTTTCTCCCATCTGCCCCTCTGGCTTGTTAGCCTTAGTCTTGTTTTTTCTACTTACTCCAAAATTGCTTGCTCTGGTTGTATCTTGGCTCATCAATCAGATTCAAATTCCAATTCCTATGTACAACCTAACTCTTACATTAAATTTCCATCTCCCTGCTCCTGATCTCAGCTTTAGAAACTGACCCTGAGTCTTAATTATGCCTAATCTAGGCATCTTGGTTTTGATATCCTTGACAATGGAGTGCACCAAAACTATTATTAACATGGAACCAATGCTATGTCCGTAGAAAGGGTTTCAGGCCCTCCCTTCTCATGCCAGTTATCTGCATTAGAAACAGAAGGTTGAGAGCAAATAGCTCATTTAACTAATGTAATTACTACATTCAGAATAAAGATGGTTATCCAGAAAAAAAATATAGAATATTCTAAGCACTCAATAGAGAAGAATATGATTTTTATGGATTCTATTAAACCCATAATCTCTAATTGACTAACATCATTTCATTCACTTATACAAAGCCAGACAACTGGAAGAGACCAGATCTCAAATGAACAGTTTTTAGTTTCAAACAGAATAATGCCCTATTGCTTTTCTTTTCCCTTTCAGAAACTCAAATGAAACTCAACTTTCAAGGATTTTTGGTTTCTGTCTGCTTCATGGATTTCTCTGAAACCTAGAGTAGGATCTGTTGGAAATCCTCAGAGTGACCCAGAAAATTAGGACCAATTGTGCCACAGCAAAAATGCTTTCCAGTTGGCTACTCTCCTCCCCTTTCCCTGTTAATGCAAGTAGTCTGGGCACTACCTCTTATTCAACCAAGGCTTTTCTGTAGCCAAGGCGGTTAGCCCATGTTCCCTTTCACTGCTGCATTAGGCTTAGCCTTAGACACAATTTCAAAAGGACAGCTAAGTCAGGCCAGGCTCCCAAGGTGTGAGGTCAGGCCCTATCCCCTCACTTCAAAACAAAAAACCTGATATTATCTCTTGAGACAGCCATGGTCTTTGTTCCTACCTCTCCTCTAAGAAGACAACTGTATACAGATATTCCCTGTGGACTCACACTTATCCTCATAGACATCTCCAGTATCATTTCTGTGAATCCTTCCTTGACATTGTCACAGACATTGACATTTCTGTGCTTTCATAATGTGTTCACAGCCTTTTCATTGCACATCCACTACATTATAATTAGGTGTTTGTATGCTTGTCTTTCTTCTTAGAGAGGGACCAACTTTTGATCACCTTTGTCTGACTCTCCCCTACCCCACCCCTCCTGGCTCAGTACAGAGAACACTGTCTGGTACTCATCAAACATTTGTTGAATAAATGACTGTAGTTGAAATTTTGTTAAGTATTTTCACATTACACACTAACTGTTGAACTCTCATAAACCCACACTGATTTTTTAATTACCTATCTTCTCATGAATACACACTTTCCCATATGTGTACACTGCATGTATACATGTACATATATACATGCACACACACCAATGTACCATATGCCATCTCTAGCATAATAGAGATAACATTTAATAGGTCTAAAAATTTAAATATAAAATATAAATATAAAATATAAAATAGGAAAATAGTTCATAAATTTAAATAAATCCCAGGTGATACAGGATAGATGTCAGAAGGTAGATAAGTACTTGATTCATCCCCACTGCTAAATACCACATTGTGATGCCCTGTGCTGAATTATTCCTTGAGTGGGTAGAAAACAGGAGTAGGTGGGAAAAATGAGTACAAAGTGTTATAACCATAGAGTTTAGTTCTTCTTTCCTTCCTTCCTTCCTTCCTTCCTTCCTTCCTTCCTTCCTTCCTTCCTTCCATCCATCCATCCCATGTGTAGCAACTTTACCTTAGTAGTATAGCAATATTAATAACTCAAATGGAAAGATGGGGATGTATCAAATACTGACATTTTAAAAATATGTTCATTAATAGAAGAAAATCACTTTCATTAATACAACATCAAGAGTTCAGTTCTTATGTCTGAAAAACATACATATGTATTTTAAAGTAAGAAGTAGTAAGAAAGTAGGCTCTTTGAAGACCTACAATTGTCCCACAATTATTCTCCTTTCATAAAGGCTAAACTGTAATTCTTTTCCTTAAGGCCTTTCAGAAAAAAACCCGTCACTTCCTGATCTAAAAACTCTATCCAGAAGTGAGTAATCACATACTAACTGACATGAAAAGTGAATTTTAAAATGCTCTAGTTAGAAAATTTTTAAATTACTTCCAGACAAAGACTGCTACATCAGTCTTTCCTACAAGATTTTAAAAATGTTAATTGGGGCAAAATGTATCTTATAATAAGCTTCCAGAACCACCCCAATTTCTCTAAACTACTTCATTATAGAAAAAGGATTCAATCTGTGTTTTTGGGAAAAAAAAAAAAAAAAAAAAAAAAAAGCCCTAATGATAATCAAGTCATTTTGCAAGTAAACATTTATTTTTTCTCCCCTTAGAGGTGATCTTCTCTTTTTCATCAAAAAAAAATTGAATCAGACATGTGAAATGGGATTCCTAATCATGAATTAGTTTTATGCCAATTGTGGCAGACCATAGAGCAGGAGAAATTTTAATTTGTCCAAAGAATGAATTCAAAGTTACAAGATCCAGTATTATTAATGGTCAATTGTTAATAAATAGTTACAAGAACTAAACTTACTTTTAACTGAATTTGCAATGTACATTCACTCACAGTATCACATTTAGTGATTAGGTAGGTATGATATTAACATTTTCTATTTTAAAGCGGAGTTAAGATTTTATATATAATAGGTGACATGCTTTTTCCACTAAACTAGGATATGTCCCAACTTATAACCTCCAATTATAACCTAAAAAGGAACACATACAAGTAAATGACAATGGGATAAAAACAAGTAAATAATAAATGACAAATTAATTCAACAATATTTAACAAACACTTATTAGTGACAACTATGTGTTTTAAGAGTTCAAGAATGAGAACAAGCACTAGAGGGGATGGCAGCAAAAGCCTTTAAAAATGGAAGGATTTTTACAGCATAGGAAATATAGCCAGTGGAACTACAGTAGTAGCGCTGTATGGTCAAAGATGGTAGCCACACTTGTGGGCAGAGCATAACCTACAGACTTGTCAAATTGCTATGTTGTATACCTGAAAGTAATGTAATGTAATGCTGTATGTCAACTATATTTCAATTAAAAAGAAAAGGAAAAAAAAGGAAGGATTTAGTAAAGGAGAAAAATGGGAAGGCAAGCTAGAGAAAAGGCATCAAGTAAGAAAGTTATGAAGATAAGGTGAGGCATAGCCTATGAAGAAAAAAGCAGAGAATATGCTTAAGCATCAGAATTAGATGAGTGATGAGCTGATAAATGAGTAGGAATGAAAAGACAGTGCTTCCACTGTGTTCTCAAGATACACACCTGTATGTTAGCACTTATGTAATTGATTTGCCTGTCTCTCCCGTTACAGGAACAACTTCTACAGAGCAGAACAGTAGCTTGCAGAGTTCCACCCACATAATTCACCTCAATAAATGACTGTTCAACTGAACCGAACAGCTCATTTCAGCACTAACATACCTCCCCCGACATCCCTCTCTATAATAGCGTGACTAAACTCTCTCATGCCATTGTCTCGGCCAGGCTCAGGTTGCCTTGCCTAAAAATGATATCCACAAAAATTTCAGTTTTTTGGGGGGAAAAGATGGCGGATGAATAGGGGACCATATTCCAACCAGACCCCAGAGTT